CTGCTGCTCCCTGCCCTGTTAACAGAGAGCAGAGAAGAGGAGGGGGAGAAAAAAAAGAAGCTGGGACCACGACTCTGCCTCTGGGTCTGACTCAGGGTCTTATATGGTTGTACAACAGAGCTTCTGCTATTATTAGCCATGCTAACGTAAACGCGGGCTTTGGAGGGCGGAGCTAATGTCAACAGATTTTTGGAGGGCGTTACCAACAGAGCTCATTAACATAAACAGCTCTTCTGAACGGAAGTCAGAGCAGGCAGAACTAGAAAATGGGAAATTTTATTATCTGAGAATTATTTTGTGCATTAAATTGAATGAGCATGGTCTGGATAGCCCACAGACATACCATAAAAATTTCTAGGACTCATAATCGGTCTCCTTTAAAAACACTACACAATGTGTAGTCTTTTATTAGGTGAACAGTAATATATTTCTATAATGTGGTTATCTCTGACTTGATGATTTTATGTGCAGACTGGGTTGTGTGGGGCTCTTGAGCAGGGTCTCACAGACTCAGGATGCTGTTAGTGTCTGACTTAAAAACAATACATAAATAAGAACTGTGATGAACCATTAGGGTGAGGAGCGATGTCTGACATTTTGACTCCGTGTAGAGACAGCCTGCCCCTTTAATTTATGTCATGAGGCGGAGTCAGGATGTGAAGAGGATGGTTACTTGATGTTTTTTTTCCAGGTTCTGAGCACTGTTTAGCTGATGTCTGTCYGATGCAGATTAAACAAAAGCTAATCAGTCCACAGCTGTGTCTGAATTGTTTTGTATGGCTCACTCAAACATTCACGTCATTAWTAACTGCTATTAGATCTGAACAGGTAAAGGGTAACAATAATTGCTTATTTTTTAACAGTAAGGTGATACTTATTTCATGGAGTAGAGTACATGAATATTATAGCGGCGTTACAGCTGTACAAGTCATGCATCTTCATATTCTTTTTGTCSCTCTTTGCATGTTTCAACCTGTCCTGCCATGACCTTCAAGTCAAACTGGTGGAATTTCGTTTCACACTGAAACATGTTCAGAAGATCAGTAAAGGCTGTTAGCTGTACGACACAGATCTAAGTGTTCGTGGGAATGACTTGTGAAGCTGCTGTGAGATTAAGAGGCTCAGGTTTCTTAACTAAGCAAGTGGAAACCCTGCTGAGTCAGTGCCCATTACTCAGTGACAATTCAGATCTTTGAAGATGGAGTGTGTGTGTGCGTGGTTTATAATCACTCAGAAGAATTATTTCAGTAAGAAATGCTTAACGTAATAAATGTAGATCAGAGTTTAGATTTAGACTATGTGATATCAGGACTCAATAAAACCTTCCTGAGAATTGAGCATAAATTAAGCCATCAAACCACAATTTTGTCTCCTTGCTTTGTATTAGAACCCTTATTTTTTTACCTTTTTGCATAGTTTTTTAAAGCTTGTCTGGCTTTTTTTTCTTTGCTAATGTAGCTCCTCTATTTCTGAGAAATCTCAACCTTCACATCTTTAACCTCATTTTATTTAGCCTGATTCTTGCAAAATGCATTTTTCGAAGATGAAAGAACAGAAATTGACAGAACAGAAAAAATCTGCATGACTTTATGAAAGCCTGGTAGAGCTTGGCAGAAATATTCATCTGCGTGTCTCTTATCTTTCAGGTGGGAGGGATGAGCAGGAGGGTCTCACTGCTATCCAGAGGATTTGTGAAGAGTACAAGGAAGCCAAAGGTATCACTGCAAACAGACTTCCCTCCCACACGGACACACGCATGCATAGGCACAAGTGGGCTTTTTTAGCACGGCAGTCGTTTTTATTTTTTAAAGGGTAAAGCTGCATTAGTCCATCTTGGCTTTGTTTTTGCAGCTTTAATCAAACACACACTTGCAGGTATGCACATAAATGGAAAATTCTGTTCTGATTTTCTTGGATCGTCCTTGATGCATTATGATGAAGAGAGGGATACACGATAAAAAGCTGCAGAAACAAGGAGGGTAATYGAAAGACTACAACATCAGTGACCCCCATTTATTCTTTAGCATCTCTCCATTGAAGCCCTGAGTGACCTGCAGCATCAGGCCCAGGACCTTTTGTCTTCGACCTCTGGTAATCACTGCAGCATGTGCTGCCATCTTAATGAATAAATAAATTACTTTGAGAGGAACAGTGTTGCTGCAGAGGTGAAGGAAAGGGGGACATCGCGATAAAAGATAAATGAAAGACAAAAAGGTAGAAAGAGAATAGAGACACAGAGGTAGTGATGGAGATAAGAAGAGACAAATGGTAGTTGAAATTTATCACTCCATCGATTGAAATTGTCGTAACTCCAGTGTTGAGAAATGAAATCGGCTGACCTTCACACTACTATAAATTCAGCACAGTGTCATGACA